CCCATTATGGCCAGTGTCAAATACTACTGAAGAACATCATCGACTCCCAAGGGTGCTGTGTCCCCCACCTGTGGGTGAGGAAGCTAAACATGCAGAAGCCACCCCCAACCTTCCCGCATGTCATATTGACAGTCTTTAACTTCTGTGCTGGCAGATTGTAATCTGAATTATATGTACTTAAACAAAAATCCTGTCCATGACAGCAGTTTCTAATTCCAATAAACCCATGAGACACTCTCCAGGTGTAAAGTTAATACAAGAGGAGCTGGCTTAATAATTTTTGTTGTAATTTCAAGGAAGTGACTGGAATAATGCCAGGTATTAATTTTCCCCAACAAGTCACAAGATGAAAGAATTCTCTATAATCTAAAGTAATGTTTAAGTCCTATTACAAACAAATTTGAAAGGACTCATAAGCCCCAATAACGAACACAGCAATTTCATCATCTCAAATGGTTACACGTGTTTGAAATTGGGGCGGGCAACAAATGTTGATCTTCAGCTGCTCTGATATAAAAGGTCTTCTTTCTCATAGCTCTTCCAAACACTTCTCTTGACTTCTTGGTGATTTGGGTAAGTCTGATTCTTCTCTATTGCTCTGAATGTCTTTTTTATTGCTTGTTTCAGCTTCAGTTGATGTCCACCATCCATACTCTTGAGTGTATCATCTGCACTGCCTTGGGACAGAGATTACAATGTTGGCTCTGGGGTGGCAGATACACCTATTTGGTGCATGGGGCATGGCGGAGTTCTCAGTGTCAGGAACACTAAGACATGCATAGCATGACCCTTACTTCAATGCATTTAATTTATTCCAATGTTTGCCTGTTATGAGGTTCAGTGTTTAATAAGAGTGTCACCACTGCAGCCATTCATGCAACCTGAGATGAACGAGCAATGCATCTGAGAAAGTTGCGTGTGCTGTCCTGATACAGCAAATCTTCTGGCTGTCCTTTACTTTCTTGCTTTCATATTCTTCCTCATAACACTGCTAAGGATTTGCAGGACATAGTGAGTGGAGAAGAGTAAAATCACCCTTGGAGAAAATAACTAAGTTTAGAGGGGAGAATATGGGCTGAATTCTTGAGTTTACAAAGGAGTCCTGTTTTTTCCAGGTACTAATAATTTGAAATTAGTTTTTTGAAAGCCATTAGGGACTAAAATGCTGATTTATATTAAAATTGTCCAGGCTGTATCCATACAGTGGTTGTGTAGGTGGGAACTGGGATAATAACACTACCATCTGTCCTTTATTGTCTTGTCAAATGGCTTTCTGAGCAATACAGGCAATCCTATAATATGTTGTTCCTACAACTCTCAGCAAAATTGTGATGAGTGGGAAGAAGAAGCTACTGTAATTAAGTTATATATAAACTACATCTCCTCTAAACCTGCTGAATGCAAATCCAAGTTTTCCTACTGACTCATCAAATGACCTTGGACAAAGTCATTTTGCTTTCTCTTTTTTTGCTTCTCAGTTTTCAGCTTAATGTGTAAAAATATATCTAAGTTCTTTGCAGGGTATTTGTAAAGGGCAACACTTTCAGAGCTAGGCATAATGTTTCTCGTGTGCCTTTGTACATGTAGACTTTTTTAGAACATTTTTGAAAATGTGTTTTTTGAAAAAAAGAGGATTAGGATTGCAAAGCAGAAAATCAATTTATTTACTCAAAATAGTGTGCTTAACTCATTATTTTAAGGTAAATTGTTGAATTTTGAAGTTTTTGTCTTCTACTTAGTCTAATCATCGATGTTTGTTGCAGCTCACCTCCATCCTTGCAAGATGTCTTGCTACGACCTGTCCTACACCTCTGCCTGCGGCGTCTACCGCCCTCAGCCCCTCGCTGACAGCTGCAACGAGCCGTGCGTCCGTCAGTGCCCCGACTCCACAACCGTGATCCAGCCGCCTCCAGTCGTCGTCACCTTCCCCGGCCCCATCCTCAGCTCCTTCCCCCAGGATTCAGTTGTGGGATCCTCTGGAGCACCCGTCCTTGGGGGCTATGGGGCCTATGGCTCCCTGGGCTATGGGGGTCTCTATGGCTATGGGGGCTATGGCTCCTCCCTGGGCTATCGGGGTCTGTACGGCTATGGAGGCTCTCTTGGTTATGGGGGCCTGTATGGCTATGGTAGACCCTACGGTTCTAACTATTGCAACCCTTACTCCTACTGGTACAACAGGTACGGCCGTGGCAGCTGCGGGCCCTACTAAATCCTACAGAAATGTCCCCCAAGTAAGGAATAATTGGCAACTGAGAGATACAATCGTGATCCACAGCAGTGGTCCCAAAGGAGATGTTGTGAAGCCCTGATCACTGCCACCCCACTGCAGTGGAGCTGGGAGCACATAGCATGTCCTTAATTTCTTCAGCCTCTATTCATGGTCTTTTGAGCTTTTTTCTATCCATGTGTATAATGGGTGGGATAAAACAAGTAATTTATATTCTTATAAAATGGCACTTCACTGTCCAACTGAAGAAGAACAATTATGGATCAATTACCTGCACTCTGATGCATACCCTTGATATTCTACAATGCCTTTCTGTGAATGTTTATTCCTCATTAAAGTGATTCTACTCTGCATCAAACAAATAATCTTCTAGTTTTAATCTCTTCTGCTATGGATATACAACTCTCCTTTCTGTAGATGGGGAAAACTCACATCCCTACATAGGATGAAGCTCAGAATTCAAAAACACAGCTGAAATGGGCCAGCCACCAGTGAAGTCAGTCACCCTTTGTTGCACCCTGTGCACACACTTGGGAGCAGGAATCCTCCCTCCCCAGCTGGCCTGGGTTACAAGAATAACACGTTTAGAAAGAAGCCACACTAAACCTCCATTCCCTAATGAGCCACTTGAACGTCTTTGCTGATCACAGCAGGAGCAGAGCTGGTGGCTCAGCTGGGGCTGGATTCTAAGTGGATTATGGGGAAAAGGCTGGCAGATGAGGCCCTCAGGTGGGAGGGATACTCCTGAGTCAGAAGGGATTTAGGGAGGTGGGAAGAGAGTGGTGAAGGGTGTTAGTGTGGAGCTACTGCGAAGGAGAGGATTGGAGGAGCTGCAACAAGGAAAAGAGTTTTTCAGAGCTTGGTAAGATGTCTAATGGACCTTTTTGATTAGGAATATTATGGGAGAGGCTGAAAGTTAGAGCTGTTGAAAATGGGGGTTTCTGTTGTGAGGACTTCCCTTATGCAGGAGGAATTAGAAAACACCACAACGGTGTTGAGGATATGTGTACAGGGTTATGACTTTTTCTAGCTTTTAAGCTTTCTAGGCTGCATCACTCTGTTCTCTCTGTTCCAGATATTCTTGCTGGCATACATGAATTAGTCCTTGGGGTAGCTGTATGGAGTAGCTGGCTTTCTGTCAAAAAGCATGCAACACCTTAGATTTCACAATGATACAGAAATATCATGATTATACAGAAAGACACTTCAGATTTAAAAGTCCCATTGTATGGCCCAGAAAGCTTTCTTTCTTTAAGGATTTGATAGAACATTAATGCAGCTTTCTGCACATACTGAGGACAGAGTTTAAGTATTTGAGTGAGAACCCGAAGCTCAAAGAGATGAATCAAAGGCTTACCTGAAAGAAATTCTTACTAAAGTCTGATTGTTTCAGGAAAGAGCTTAAAATTACTAACTACTGTTTCATTTCTCTACCGCTACTAATCTGTAACCGGTGGATGTACAACCAAGAAGCCGAATTCTTCAAAAATGTCAAGAATCTTAATCTGAAAAATGGGGAGAGCGGGACAGTAATAGTTCCTTCTGTGCTGGGGGCTTCACACTGTTTTTGTACATTTGAAAACCCTGATTTTTTGGGGGGGACAGGACATTCATTTACATAAACTGTTACTGACAGCTGCACAGGTTAGACTTCTCCTAAGACAAATAACAAGGGCGAAAACATAACAAAAGAACACCAGAACATGGCAACTTTGATGCAATAAACTTTTAATGATAGTGAGAAAAGGAATACATTTTCAGAGTCTCCAAGAAGTATGAAACCGTTCTCCAGTCAGGGATACGTCTGCTTGTGATTGATTTCTTTATGTCCTCAGTCTTAGCTGTTGATTTGAAGGAACAGGAACCATTCTGAGCAAGTTTGTTACACATTTACCCCAGGCAGTGTGGAAATGTGATGGGAGAAGCATTAGGGCAGAAACTGAAAGTAGAATTTAAGAGGAGGAATTCAAAAGTGGCTGAAGGGGTACAGCTCCATGGCCTTGGAATAGAGCAGTGGAGGTTCAGACCTCTTTAGCTCTGAAACCATCACTTCTCATTTCTCGGTTATACCTCACTTGGATTATTTCTCTAGGATTTAGCAGGGTCCGCAGCTGCCACGGCTGTACCTGCTATACCGGTAGGAGTAAGGGCTGCAGGAGCCAGAACCATAGGGTCTACCATAGCCATACAGGCCCCTGTAACCCAGGGAAGAGCCATAGCCCCCATAGCCATAGAGACCCCCATAGCCCAGGGAGGAGCCATAGCCCCCATAGCCATAGAGACCCCCATAGCCCAGGGAGGAGCCATAGCCCCCCAGACCCCCATAGCCCCCAAGGACGGGTGCTCCAGAGGATCCCACAACTGAATCCTGGGGGAAGGAGCTGAGGATGGGGCCGGGGAAGGTGACGACGACTGGGGGCGGCTGGATCACGGTTGTGGAGTCGGGGCACTGGCGGATGCCCGGTTCATTCCCACTGTCAGCGAGGGGCTGGGGGCGGTTGACGCCGCAGGCGGAGGTGTAGGACAGGTCATAGCAAGACATCTTGCAAGGATGGAAGTCAATCTGTAAAACATGGTCATTTTTGTTAAAATTAAACAAATATCAAGCATTAGTTTATGATGAAGCAGTCGAACACGGTATCAGTAATAAATCTGGGAAGTAAACATATTTTCTATTACTATTCTTCCTACAATTATAGTCTGGAGGCTAGTGTTGACTTCAGTACGACAAGGTCATGTACTTTTCAATTGTATCTTTGGTATTTCCAGATGAACGAATTCTGATAGTATTACATTAGTATTAGTTGATGGTTTGTACTTAACAAGTTTGATCTTTCCTGTTATAAACTCAGCAGAACCCAGGTAAATGCAGCCATATACAACCATGTATATGAACTATTCCTTATCTCTTGAAATTGTCAGGGAATTCTTTGAAGCTCTAAAATGTTACAAGTTTGGATTCAAAACAGCTTGATATACCCCTCTTCTGCAGCCTATCTTTACATGGCCTGGTAATGAATGAGAAACCAAATGTTATTTCCAGCAGCAAATACTCTACAGATCACTGGCAGCCTGGCAGTAACTGAAGAGGACGCAGTCCTAAGTTAAAATCAAGAGTTCTTTACAGCAAGTTAAGTTTAGCGAAGTGTGAGAGAAATCTGACTTACCCAGTTCACGAAGGAGAGTAAGGTGAGAGAAGTAGATAGAAAGACTTAATGCAGAGAGCTTTTATACAGCTCCATCAATTGCCTGGAGGACATTAGGCATCCTATGCGTGAGTACATAATTAGGTACCAACCCCAAATTGTAGGACACGTAGCTCCTCAAAATGCTGAAATAGTTTTTGCTTATTGCTTGTGTGTTGCAGGTGCTTCAAACCCACACATAGCGTGACATGCACACTCCACCACAACCTCTCTATTACCTCCAGGCTTTATGTGTGGAATTATTTTTTATTATTCCATTGCTGCCTTTAGCAGTAGGGGAGGAAGTAAGCTGGCTTGATTTATTTGAGCGTCCTGCATAATTAGGATGACAGGAGGACAGCCATGTCTTTTGTCCAGTTACAGGTCTTCTAGTGTCAACAGTACACCTGGAGACAAAATGGAATTTCTTTTAGGATTTCAAATGAAGGCTGGAGACAAATAACAAGGGTAAAAACATTCTTTCTGCAGACTTAGCACTTCTACCTCCAGCTAGTCAATACAAGGCAAACATGATAATCAAGAGCATCTTTTAATGGCTTTTGGACAGTTCTCTACTGGTTGTATTTCAGTCCTGGGAACAGAGAAATATTTCAGCTGGCAGTCACAAGTCTATGGAAACTGATTTTTCTGAGTTGTTTCATTGAGCTTTGATTTCCTTTATATTTTAGCATGTGTTTTCCTCCTATTGTTATGTGTTAGAGAGATATACCTAGGAACATAGAACCAAGAGAAGCAAGTAAATAAGGCAATAAGGCATGACCACTGAAAGGGATTCCAGCCCTTACTCAATGAAGACAGACCCCATTGTATCCTGGGATGTTTTGGGGTTTTTTTGGCAAATAGTTCAGTTAACATAAGCAGATTTCTGTTTGTGGACCAATGTGCACTTTAATAAAAAAGAAGATACACTTTATTTTTAAGGTCAAAGAAGGGAAGGTCCAAAAAGTGTTATAAACCATGAACTGATTATGGGAAAGACCCAAGTGATCTTAACTTACCTATTTTAATGGGATAATCTCTCATAATAGAGGGTTGTATGCATCTAGGCATACTTTTTATATAATTATGACACAGTATGTACAATCTCGTAATGGTTGATCATGAGGTATTTGAAAATCCCTTGGAATGTTCTTGTAAAACTTTGAGATGGCTTTTTCCCAGTATTATAGCTCAGGAAATCACCATATGTATGTCCAGATTTGGAAAAGCTCATAATTTAGAAATAATATGTGGTCTGAAGATAACTACATTGATGATTATGATAACCACGATAATGATATAGTATTAAAATAATGGCATAAACAAAGAAAGAGACCTCAGCAAAAGCCAGCATTTGCTTTTCCCAGTGGATTCCCACCTCATAATTGCTATCTACTGAAAGATGCCATCAATGATGGGGTTAGCTGGAAGATCAGTTTTAGACCAGGGTCAAGGACTCCTGACTCTCAAACCAGTGGATGAAACGGAGCTGAAAGTTTTAAGTATCCCTGACTTCTTATGATTTCAGATATTCACTGGGAATCTGTCCACTTTTTGATGTCACTTTGATGACACTTTGTTGTCTAAAAGGTTGCCTTTATCTATTGCATATGCAAGTGAAATAAGGGCTGCAGACACCTGTGCATGGTCTTTGATTTAAGCAGGAGGTCTCGGTGGTTTTGAACAGCCAAAAGAAGCTTGTTCAATGTACCTGCAAACATGCCAGAATAAGGGCAGAGATAAAACATAGAAGATGAGCAAATGGGATGCCAATAAGAATTGCACATTCTGGGAAGAATCCATTGAGTTGTTAATGCCATTAGACTGTGGCTTAGTCTGTTACTCTGAAATCTCATTTCACAGCTTTCTTCCCTACAAAAAGAAAGGTTTTTTCCTAATATAGTTAAATTTGGGTTTTTTTATGTACTTTCTATAAAAACACATGGCTATCTCAGTCACAAATTTAGATATTAAATCAACATACATTTTAATTATTTTAATCTTTCCATCCTGAGCATTAAATATATTTCCCCTTTCAGAACTAAATTCAGCTTTAAGCTACAGTTCGAGGGTCAGATAAAACCTAAGGCTGTTTTGGACATTTGCCACTGTGTTTGGGAATGCTCACAATATGATTTGTTTCAGAGAGTGCTGAGAATCCTCCATGGATTCCAATACGAATTCTATCACATTTCAGAAATAAACCTAAGCACATAAAATATATTGCCTACCTTCCTGAGGATTTAACAATAAACTGTATTTTATCTTTAAGAAGAGAGAAAACTTCTGTGAGGGACTTTGAAGGAAGCACGTCACAGCAGGTTATTTCTGATAAATGTCTGAGCATCATTGTCATATAAGACAGCAAAGGAATATAATCTCTGTATAAGTAGCTTATTACATGGTGAAACTCCAAAGAGAATAGAAAACTGATATTAATTTCATGAATTACATTTTAGGATGAAAGATGCATTAATTTCACCTGTCACTCTTTTAGATGAAAGAACCTTGCGTGATGTAATGCGTGTGTTATATTACATGATAATTGAAATCAAGTAATAAACAAAAACAGAAGGTGAAACAATTTCATCACTTTGCAGAGCTATCAATATAAAAAAATGTGCCATGTCAACTAATTAGATCCACATTCATGAAACCAGCCTCTCACCCCTCAGGCAGTCTGAACTGTATAAAAGCTCTCTCCACTGAGGGTTCTTCCAACCTCTTCTCTTCACTCGTTCTTCTCAGCAAATTGGGTAAGTCTGAATCTGCTCTTTACAACTGTTGGCATAGCTCTTTGCTACACAGTTTAATCTAGGATGGTCTAGATTTACCCTTCAAGAACTAGTGGGTAAAATTTTCATTGAAAAGATAAAGCTTGCAAAAATTATTAAAAGTGTTAGGGACAGCCATTCTCTGCATTCAGGGTTGGCATTTAATTTCAAAGCAAACTAAAAGTTTCTTGATATGGCAGAAAATTTCATTCATTATTAGTTCACTTCCAAGAGCAGAAGAAATTAATGTGACTAGTTCAATATGCATTCTTCTTCTCTGCTTGTTTATATGGGTAACTGGAAATTATTTGAAAAAGTTTAAATCTTCATGGTTCACAGGGAAATGCTGAGCTTAGAAACAAACCTTCCATTATCTCCAGTTTGTTCTATTACAGACCACTCAAGGTGTTTTTATATTCATTCAAGATAAATAGACATGAATGTTACCAGAGATCAGGCACAGGCTTAAATAGAGACACAGAGAGGAATTGAGAGCTGTTCAAAATGCTCTGTAAGAAATTTATTTTAATTAAGAGAAAGAGGGGCTATGGAGGGAATTTAAGGAGCTGACAAGTGAAGTGCTGAGTTTTTCATGTTAATGGGGGCAAGTTGTTTGGGGTGAGATTTTTTTTTTCAAAAGAGTTTGGAGCCCAAAATCAAAACGCTCTGTTGTTAAGCTAGGTGTAAATATCTCAGTGTCCTGATTAAGTGTTTGGAAACTGGGGACAAGAATCTTTGCATTTCCCTTGTAATGGTCTCATCAAACAGGTTACTGAGCAAATCTGAATGGACAATGACTTATAATCCCTGTTCTCACAAGGCTCAGCACAAAGGAGATCAGTAGGAATATGAAGAGTTAGAGTCATGAAATCACGCATAACAACACACTCCACTCCTTGGAGTCCCAATTTTTGCTCAGCCACTGACTCACCAAAGCATCTGAGCAAATAATTTTGCTGTTCTGCTTCAATTTTTGTTTCTAACAGACATAGGTAAATTGGTGTACTTTAAAGCACTCCTGTCTGAGGAACAGCAGTGAACTCTGTAGGACTTTTATGTAGGTAAATAATGTCTTGTACTTGGTAAAATCAACTCTTGTAGATTGACCTCCATCCCTGCAAGATGTCTTGTTACGACCTGTGCTCCACTGCCGTTGGTGGCATCAACCGCCCCCAGCCCCTCGCTGACAGTGGGAATGAACCGTGTGTCCGTCAGTGCCCCGACTCCACGACCGTGATCCGGCCGCCCCCAGTCGTCATCACCTTCCCCGGCCCCATCCTCAGCTCCTTCCCCCAGGATTCGGTTGTGGGATCCTCTGGAGCACCTGTCCTTGGGGGTTATGGGGGCTCCCTGGGCTATGGGGGTCTGTATGGTTAGTTGTGGGATCCTCTGGAGCACCTGTCCTTGGGGGTTATGGGGGCTCCCTGGGCTGTGGGGGTCTGTATGGCTATGGGGGCTCCCTGAGTTACAGGGGCCTGTATGGCTATGGTAGATCCTATGGTTCTGGCTCTTGCAGCCCTTACTCCTACAGGTACAACAGGTACAGCCGTGGCAGCTGCGGGCCCTGCTAAATCCTACAGAAATATTCCTTGACTAAAGAATGACTGGCAAATGCATGATATCCCTGGGCTGTGGGGGTCTGTATGGCTATGGGGGCTCCCTGAGTTACAGGGGCCTGTATGGCTATGGTAGATCCTATGGTTCTGGCTCTTGCAGCCCTTACTCCTACAGGTACAACAGGTACAGCCGTGGCAGCTGCGGGCCCTGCTAAATCCTACAGAAATATTCCTTGACTAAAGAATGACTGGCAAATGCATGATAATCTTGATCCTCAAATGAGCTTCTGAATAAGGGGCCATCAAAGACTTCCACTTAATACAGTGGAGTCAAAATTGCTCCATAAGTTACAGTTCTCTTTTCCTTCTTCACTTGTTTTGCCTCTTCTTCCTTGCCCCTGCCAGTGGCCAAATGTGTAACTCCACCATCATCCCAGAGGACACTTGCTTCTCCCTGAAACTGTCACCTTCTGGGAGAAGCCTGAGGGAATACCTCCCTTGAAACCTGCAGGGACAACCTGTGGGGACAATCCTTCCCCTCTCTCCATGCTCTTGGTGCTTCTCCTTGCTCATGCCCGTGCCCAGAGGCGCGACTCCACCATCGTCCCACAGGGCACTTGCTTGTCTCTGCAACAGCCAGCGCCAGCCAGAGGCCTGAGGGAACACCTCTCGTGAAGCCTGCGCGGACAACCTGCCGGCCTCTGCCTTAGGCGTCTTTCTCCAGTGGCTGCCTTCCTGCCCTTGCAATAAAACAATCCTGCACCCAACGCCTCCCGCTCCGCCTTTCCTTTCCAAGCCCAGCATGGGCTGCAGGGCTGCCTCGCCCAGCATGAGGACCCCGCCAGCCGCGCCAGGCCGGTCTCTGAGCCTCAGCAGAGCCAGGCTGAGCTGCCTCTGGGGAGACCCCGCTGCCCCGGCCGCTCTGGGCGCACACGGTCCTGCAGCTAAGAAACCTATCTGCCCCATCTTTCATTGCCACTGAGCTGAAATTGTCTCACCTACACTAATTATTCTACCTGTCAGACTTCCAGTAGTTAGTCCAATTTTTTTTCAGTAGTTAATTTAGTGCTGGAATTCCATTGAAATTTTTACATCTTCTGGGTTGATATACTGGAAATCATCAAACTGTTCAAAGACAAAATGAAAAAATGTGGCCTGAAGTTCTGTCAAAGCATATTCTGAAAAAGAACAATAAGAGGAAGGTAAACAATAGGAAACAATTTTTAAGATAGGTATCTGAGCAAAGATCAAGCTCTGCCTCTTTTTTTTTTTTTTTGTTAGTCACTGCTGTGATAACAGTTGCCTCAGGGAGGTTTTGGCTGAGTCTGCAAGTCAGCTGGGTGAAGTAAAAGAATATGAACTAATGCGTTACAGAGGATTTACCTATTACTTTCTTGAGACTCTTTCAAAGAAAAGCTCCATACATGAATGTATAATTTCTTGATCTCAACCCTCTGTCACTGTTAAGGAATAGCAAGTCTGATTTTAAGAGGAAATTTCAATGCCTCCCTCCCCCAGACATAACCGGATATGTTGGATGGCTATGTGTTATAAGTAGCAATAAGTTGAAATGAAAATTAGTCTATTGTACTAATGAATCTTGCTTTTATTTTAAGAAGATACTATTTTACTTTTGCTGATTAACAAATACTGAGAATATTTTGACTAAAAAAAGCCCTTTGCTAAAAGGTTCTTCTCTCTCTCTCTCTGCTTCATCCTCCCTTTCCCAACACTGCCTGCCCTCATGGCCCTGGGCTTTTTGGGAAAGGTCTGTGGGGGTCTGGGAAGCGACTGGAGCTTGCAGGGCCCAGATGCGAGCCCAGGCATCTGAGGTGGAGGAGAATGGCTCCTGCCTTTTGGGCACAAGGAAATGGCTCTCTGTCTTGTGCTGCTGTTCTCGTTCTCACGTGGCTTGAGGCAAGGACACTGATGCAATGAATTCCCAGGAGCTCAGCAACCAACCTCCCGGCTTGTGCCACACCAGCCCTGCATCTCATTGTCTCAGGCACCTCTCTTGTGCTGAGCAAAACCCTCTTTCCTCTCAACTGGTTCAGCCCAGGGCAGTTCCTGAGACAGCTTTACAGAACAGGGATGCCTGGTTTCCTCTTCGTTGCTCTTCTGCTGGACACCAGGATCCTTACTGTCACGCACAGCCTCTAAGAGGTACTTCAGCGTAAATCACACATGATCACAGCTGAACACCTGAGCTCTGACTGACACATTTCCACTGATTCTCTTAATGAGGCAGTGTCAGTCAGGTACCAGCCAGCACTCAATTAGATGTGTATTGTGTCAGACAGCAAGTGCCTAGCCCAAGACAAGATTGGTGAGAGTTATTAGCACCCAGCTAACATGATTACGTAGCTTCTATTTGGGCTGGATGCCTGTTCAGGGTGAGCCCATGGGCGATTGCAAAATAGTACACAGAGATACCCTTTCTGTCAGTGTCTAATGTTATACAGGAGTTATAGGAATGGAGGGACTTTATTACATTGGTTACTCAAGGATCAGTCTCAGAAAACCTCTAGTTATTTGTTTGCATTAATGGCATTGGCACATAATTTGGGAACACTCGGGTTTATGTGCTGATAACATAAAGCTGAGTGGCATTAAACAGGAGGGAATCAGACTTTAAGACTTGAAAAACGAGATGGCTGAACTGATGGGAGTAACACTAATGGTATGATCTTCAGTAATACAGTGTAAAGCCATGCACCTGCTGACTGCAGAAGAAAGATCTGGGGTAATACAGGCTATAATCAGAAATAATTGACAGAAGAGTAAAAAAAATCTCTGAGTAGACCCAAATAGGTGATGGTAAGGTATAGAGGGATTGCATGCTCTTGCGTGAAACTATTGTAAATACAGGATACCAAAGAGTACTGGTAATAAAAGAAGAACCTGTAAAAAAAAAAGGGGGAGGGGGGAAGAGCACACCCTATATCCCTTTTACTGTCACCATTTCACTAATTCTCCAAACGACAGAGCAAATGCAAGAAATTGAAATGGCACTAATGCTAATTAATCTCACACGTACCTCAGTACAGGGTAAAATAATGTTGTGGGATAGGTCATCGTGAGTGATGAACAAAAAGATTATTGGTGATTCCTTTTGACACCAAGGGAGTTACAAATTCCCTCAATGTGATGCAGTAGAAGTTTTGTAGAAGTACAAAGTTTTGTAGAGTGAGAGGGCAGCATCACAACTTCATCTGGAAGACACAGCTGAGACAACACGCTAATACATGAATATTATTGCTCAAATATATATCTGTACACATATTTATATATAAATTAGGCACACATCTTCAGCAGGCATCTGTAATCAAAGCACCTGCACCCAGTTCATTGCTACAATAATCCAACTGAATCATTCCACTCCAAAATTAGGATAAAGAAGAATGTTCCCTGAGATGAGCAGCAGATATCTGGAGTTGGGGAAGCAGAAACCAGGAATTGCTTCTTTGTTCATAGCTACAATGAAATCAAAGATATCCTCTGTTGAATATACAGAGACCAACATATAACCTACCACACCTGCTGGGAACAAAACTTGAAACACCGAGAGGACACGCGACTTGCACGCAGGAAACCTTTATTGTGCC